ATGATGCTGCAAGTCCAACAGCACTTTCTCTAGCACATGCCCTTCTCCTTTGCATCGCCACGACCTTAAGGTGGAGTGTTAGCATTGCCGATGTCACAGCGGCCTTTTTGCAAGGCCTGTCCTTGCCTAGATCCGATCCACTGTATGTGCAAGCACCATCTGGATGTCCACCGGAAGTACTTGAATATTTGCGGTGGAGACTTGGCCCTGACAACAGGAGCGATGTGTTTGAAGCCACCAAGGGCATTTTCGGACTCAGCGAAAGCCCCAGATTGTGGTACTTGAGATTCAAGGAGACCCTGGCTGAGATTGCATTCCACGAGTCTCAGTTGGTGCCATACCTTTTCATGAAGCACAACGATCAAGGACAATTGATCGGCTTTATCACCTTGCATGTTGATGACGCCTTATTGGCCGGAGGACCAGAGGTTGAAGCTGACTGGAAGACATTGCAGTCTCGATTGAAGTTTGGCAGCTGGACTGATTTGAAAGAAGGAGGAAAGTTCCTAGGACGTGTGATGAAACAAAGCGAGGACCGTGAGACCATCACCGTGGACATGAACATATACTGCCAGAATCTGTCGGAGATTGACATCGAGACCGCCATGAAAGACGAGGATTCAGTTTCTCCCCTTCAGGCAACTCAGCTGCGTGCCTTGGTTGGACAGCTGGGATGGCTCGCCAAGCAGGGGAGACCCGACTTGGCTTTTGCTGTGTCTTACCTCCAGCAGAATCTAGTGGATGCCACTGGAAGTACAATTCGACTAGCCAACAACACCGTACACAAGGCCAAACAGGAGACATGTTACTGCATCAAGAGTTTGGGGTGTTCCTTGAAGGACATGATGGTGTTGGTGGCTACTGATGGTGCTCTAGCCGCTATGCCTAGAGGAAAGTCGCAGCTGGGCATCTTTCTGATGTTGGCTAATCCCAAGGTGCAAACCGAAGTGAGCGCTGTCGCGCCAATTGAGTGGTGCAGTACCTCGTGCAAGCGTGTGGTTCGCAGTTCCTCCGCAGTTGAAGCAGCAGCTGCATCATTGGGATACGAGCACGCTGAGTTCCTGAGGGCAATGCTTTGTGAAGTCAGAGAAGCTGGATTTGTGATGAGACGATGGTTCGAGCATGTGAAGGAATGCCCGATCTTGCTGATCATCGACGCCAAAGTGGCGTACGATTGCCTGTCCAGCGATGAATTGCCCCAGGATAGGAGGACCGCCCTTGACATCCGTGCATTGAGAGAAAGCCTGTCTGACCTGGTTCGTCTTTTTTTTGGTGATGGATGCCCGGACAGGAGCAGGCTTCCGATAGCCTGACAAAGCACAAGGGAAACAACGTCCTTCAGTCCATCATGGGCACAGGTCGTTGGACGATCGTGGAAGATGACACGTGGCAAGAAGTCCGAGCCCAACAACGCCTTACACAGAAGGCTTACAAAGGTCGGCTAAAAGCCCACCGGGGGACGGCAGGTGAGTCAAAGGAGACTTGCTAGTGCATGTCCATGTACACCATCCTTTGAGTTGTTCTGAAGCCCATTGCGGCCCAACTCCCACTTGCAGGTACCAAAAAGGAGTCGCCCGCTGTTGAGCTTTTGTCCATGGTTGCGCTCGGTTCCCTACCACAATAAGTCATCCAAACATGACAGGGCAGTTGATGGCTGGGTATTCCGCCACCCCGCAAGGAACGCGTCATGCATTCCGTACTTCCAAAGTGAGTGCCATTCTGGGCTTCAAGCAAAGAGGCGCTCATCGGCGACCACCTGCAGAGGGGAAGCGCAACGAACGGTCCACACGCGCGTACGTCCCCCGTGCGACCACTTCCAAAAATGTTGCTCGCTCTGTGAAATCCTCACGGGCTTCGAGGCCTCCATGGCGTGGCCGTTCACGGCTCTGAGCAACGAGGACCTGGGCAGCCAATTGTGAGTCAGTCAGTGGGTATAGCATGGTCTATAAACCACCACCCGGTGACTTCATTGTAAACACCACCGCAAAGTAGCTCGACTGCGAGTGGTGCCCGCAACTGTGACCAAAGGTCCCTGGTCTGAAACCAAGCTGTGGACCTAACTTGAGGGCTCTCACTCCAAGCCCAAGGCTCGGATTTGCGCAGGGAACACGTCCAAAAAAAACAAGACGTAACAATAGCACGGAAGGCTATAGAATCTTCCTCGTTACTTATAGTGATGGCGTCCACCCAACAGCAGCCACCTAGTGGCTGCTCGTGATGGCATCCACCCTACATTCCAAGGTCTAGATCTGAGGTGAGTTGATGGCTGCGTGTGCAAGTCCGAGGCCAGCACTTGTGCAGGGCACCCGTTCGAAGAAAATACAGGGGATGTAACGATGGCATGGATGTAGTAGCTTCCTAGTTACTGGTCCTGATGGCCTCCGCCCTATACTAGCTTGCTTGTGACCAGGACCAGTGGTGATGGCCTGCACCCTGTAGCAGCTTCCTTGGTACTAGTCATGATGCCACCTTCTTTGTTGCTGATCGTGATGGCCTCCACCCTCTAGTAGCTGCCTTGTTACTAGTTGTGATGGCCTTCACCCATGCCGCACCAAGTTCGGTCCAAGACCAAACCCTGACCGTGCGCAGGGGGCCCATTCCAGAAAAAAAAAGTGCGTGCAACGATAGCACCCGCCTGCAGTTTAAAGCGCTGCTTCTTGTCGGTGCACACAATCTCCTCCGCGACAGGCAGTGGCGAGGCAGCCAGAGAACCCTCCGACTATACTTATACGTCACCTGGAGATCCACTCCCCAGAAAAAACAACGCTCTTTTCTTGACAACTCTCTTTTCTAGACAAATTTCCCTGGAAATCGTTCCGAGGACAGACTCTGCTGCACGTGAGCGGTGCAACGAGCCCACGGCACCTCAATGTCCGTCACAGAGCATCGGAGCACACGAAGCTCTGCCAGGCACAAAATGTCCTCAGCGTTGGAGATGTTGCTTGCTTTCTCATCAAAAAATTCATGGGGTTTACATCAGCAGGGCTTAGATCAGACCCCTATGCAAGAAGTTGCTGTCTCAAACCAGGCTTGATCGGTCTCAGTCTCGTTCGAGACATTCACGTATGCTTTCGAGATCGTTTGAGATGAGAAGTAAGTAAACCACAGTGAACATATATATATATATTACTGCGCAGTGAGTTCACAGGAGACGTTTACACAGGAATCAACAGAGAACACATGAATTCACAGAGAAAAGTAAAAACACGGTAAACCCTATACCGTATGACCTCTTTCTTTGTGCAATCTCTCTGTCTGTACATGAATCGTTGTTCAAGGATATGTGAAAAGATCTTCAATGATAGCTGTTTCTCTTTCTTTTGCTCTCTAGTAGCTGAACAGGAAGTAGTAGTTGTAGTAGTAGTCGGTGTAATTGGTAGTAGCAGCAGTAGTGGTTGTTGTTGTTCTTGTCGTAGTAGTAGTAGTAGTAGTTGTTGTTGTTGTTGTTGATGTTAAACTAGTAGTGGTAGTAGTAGTAGTAGCAGCAGCAGCAGCTGCTAGTTGTAGAGAGAGAGAGAGAAGGATTGGTGTAAGGAGTTCATGTCTGGTAGAGTACTGTATGTCCAAAGTCGGGGCGCATGGAATGGAATGCCAAAACGTGTCCACGATGCCGCAAGAGGGTCGACTTTTTGTCTGAGGAAGGAAGGTCGTGGAATCTCAGCCCAGAACTACATGAACATCTCTAGAGGTTCCCCTGGAGCCCCTCGATCGAGCGTTCCCTCCACACAAACGAGGGGCTCCAAGCTGACAGAATCCGCCGTCACGTATCCGGATGCCAAGCGATACGGCCTTGCGGCGAAGAATCTTGCTCAACGCCTCGCAGTGGCCAACCCGATGGGCGTGGCTATCCGTTAGCAAGGTCGAGTCCTCGACGCATCGGAAAACCATGGTCACACGCTGACCTGGTGTGCATGCAGGAAACCATGTGGCCAAACTATACGTGCAGGAACATGTGTACCCAAAGAATTTGAATGGCATCGTCTTCGCAGAACGGTGGCTACCACTACGGCACATGCGGTGAAGCCCTTCACTCCAAAACTGTTGGGGCGTCTGTATTTCGATGCGCAACCACTTCTCTTCAGGCATGATGCAGCAAGGAGGACGTAGTTCATGAGAGGAGAGTTGATAATGAAATCGAATCCCTTGAATACGTGCACATCCCCGGGCCTTGGATATCCGAGCCAGCCGGATCTCGTTGCGTCCGGGACTCCTGCGCACACTCTGAAAGTGAACCACAGGTTCCAAATGACTGCACGCTTGGCTTCGAATTCCCCCAATGCTGCCATAGAGGCTTTTGGCATTGATGTGAAGTTATTTTGATAAATGGCCTTTGGCCTTGTAGAGCACCTCGGTGTGGCAAGATTGATCACAGTATCAACCAAGGTAACATACCTTGAGCCCCGCTTTCTTGAGATTACTCGAGAGCGCACGAAACTGAAAACTGAAAACTATATATCCATCTATCTATCTATCTATCTATCTACAGTATCTATCTACAGTATCTATCTATCTATCTATCTGCTTTATGCAATTTAACTATATTAAAGTGGGAGCGTTCAAAAGTCGTCACCAACAGTTTCATGGTTTTTCCAACACGGATCACCTTGAAGGACTCGAGCGCAGCAGGGACGGCTCATCATGCGTCGCCTCTGGCCTCGGCACTTGAAGGAGCACAAAATGGGCTATGTAGCGACCTTGATAGCTATGTGCTGATTTCTTTTCATGGTTTCAGTATTGATTCATGCTACCACCCCTTGTCAAACATGCTTGCAAGCTAGCGGCATGTTTGGCGGCTCGCGCTACATTTGGTTCACTACCACCTAGGACTAATACCTATTTGCTTGATGCTCAAGATTGCTGCAGTAAGGTGCTCTGAGGACACAAATGAAAAATGCGCATGTCACGCACAAACCTTGAATGATTCATCATGATTCAAGCTTTGCATCACAGAAGTGAAACGACATTTGGACAAAAAGAAATCTAACGTGGTCAGCCCACGCCTTCATCGTCTTCAAGCGGCCTTCGGCATTTTGCAGGTCACGAATCTGGTCCTGCGCAGGCAGCCGAGGCGTGCCGAGGCGCGCCGAGGCGTGCGGAGGGCAATAAAGAAGAGACGTCGGCCATCAGCCAAGTCAGCCCAGACCGAAAAAGTCCTGCAACTTCTCAATAAAATCATCAATCCTGATCAAACTGCGATATTCATGTGACCAGGTTGCACATGATTGATATGAATCATGCGTGAAGGCTTGGTTCAAGGACTCACGTTGGTAAGAAAATAGCAGCCTGGCACTCTGAAGCAAGGCTACGTTCAGACCCCTCCCCTTGTCGCAAAGTTCCTATATAGATATTTACATTGATATTACTAAACTATTGCATAGATAATGTCGACAGCGTTGCGGACGGTACTCTGGAAGAAGCTCAATCGCCCGACCTGTATGCTGCATGCTGGTGCGAAAGGCAAGGCAACACTTTGTTTGCAACAACAAAAGTCCGGTTCACCAAAGGCCGTGACTGAAGGCTTCGCCCAATATACGGACCCGGTCGTGCTGCGGGACCTCCAATAGCATGTTAGCATGTTCTCTAATTACCAGGACCCGGAATTCACAATTGGACTGAGCTTGCGGCAATGCCGCTTGGACCCACAGTTTGCAGCTCTCGTTCCACCTCAGCTCCATGTTTCTCGGGCCGCATTACGATTCCTGTTAGAACTGGGTGCGTTGCCCAAGCGGTAATCCTCGGCAAAAGTAGAGGCATCAGTGCGGGTGCGAAACACTCATGATATGCTGCCACATCCTGGGAAGACATGAAAATAGAAGGCTACACAGCAAAGCGCTAATAGCAAACTAAGCTAGCGCGAAATACGAGTCAAAACATCAGGCCAATGTGAGGTCTGGACTGTGCAGCCCCTGGCCTGGTTTCATCTACATAATCCAAACATCAAAGCCAAACACGACTCATGTCCAGAAAAGTTTGCTGCCGAGCTGCAACGCTCTGCCCAGATGGGCCTGTCACAAAAGCTTTTTCGAACGCTAAGGTTTACTAGGCAAGTCACCGCCCAGCCTCTCCAGAAGGCCTCTCTCGCCTGATGTGTTGATGCATGCAACTCACCCTGCAAGTTGGCACAGTCAGTACGTTGTTTCAATGTCGGCCTTGCTGAACCGAGCTGGTTCTCTGCCGCCTCAACTGAGAGCGCACACTCAATTCCAGTCAAACAAGGAAACATGCAAACCGCACATGAGCCCCCCGCCTGCCCCAGTGGACTACGGGGAACCCTTGCACTGAGATGGGTGCGTTTTACTGGCCTCACTCACTGCTACAACTTTACACGGTAAGGGCAGCAACAAAAGTGCGTTTCAACTTCCCTGAACGAGCCAAGCCACGGCACATAGCAAACCTCAAGTTCTGCATGTTTGGCTCCAGCAAAAGGGGAGAAGTTAAACGACACACCCTGAGACACATGCGCCAGGTTTCGATGACCAAAAATCATCACCGGGACCTTATATTCACATGACATCACTTACAAATTTGCTCATGACCAGCTGAGGCACCCAATGGCGATCGCGATTCCCAAGGTATGTCCTCTTTATCACGCGCAATTGTTCAAGTGTGGCCCGTGTTCAAGAATTCGGAAACATACCTGCCTGGGCCCCACCACCTACAATTCCAGGGAGTGTCGTTCTCAGACCTGAATTGCCCAAACCAAAGTGGCAAGGAATCAGGAAGATGCAACTCTTAAAAGCTTAGTTCAAGCGCTGGCCATGTAGGGGCCACACCCTGGCGCGAGGCAATGCCAAACAAAAACACAAACCAAATAATTGAGCCTGAGCAATCATCATGCACCAAGTTCCCAACTAATCTGTTCCACGCGAGTTCGTGCCGCTCATTGTTCCCGCAAAAAGTCCTGTTGCACCGCTAGCCTGGGTCTGAGCCAAACACTGCCCACACGGACGTGGCCCAACAAACAGTTATCATATAATATGTTTCATGATTCACTCTTTTTGGCACCCCACTCGCTGTTGCCAGCCCTGGTGCATACTAAAGCCCCAAAGCCCCATCTCCCCCACAGCTTTGTTTGATAACACTACAGTAGGATCTGGGTCAGCCTCTTTGTCTGTTCAGGCTTAGAGCTACTCCTAAGTTTACCAGGGCTACCACTAAATCTTTCAGACCTATTACTAAGCCCTTCAGAATTGCTTTTAAAACAGAACATAAATGTCCAAGCTGCTTGTTGTGTTCCTTCTGTTTTTTTGAAGCCGTATCAATGGAGTGGGACAATTTGGGACTTCAAACGGGTCTGGAGGTCCTATGAAACTTACACACGTTTGTTTGTTGTTGCCTTTCCTTCACCCTCCCAACAGCTGACATGTTTCTTTCCAAGTTGTGTTCTTTTTTGCTCGCTGGGATTCTCGGTTCTTTCGCCCATCATCTCATCATCTAGTCCAAAAGTATCTAACCATCCCTTAGCCAAATACCACGCCCAACCATTGGTAGTGTCCATATCACAAAACCATTTTCTTCAGTCGCAGCATGTCCATATTGTACACGGTGATAATATAATCCAAAACAAAACCAACAATAGAAACAATTACCCCTACGACGACGTAGTAGTAGTAGTAGTAGTGGCAGTAGTAGTAGTGGCAGTGGTGGTGCTAGTGGTGGTGCTAGTGGTGGCGCTAGTGGTGGTGCTAGTGGTGGTAGTAGTGGTAGTAGTGGTACCAGTGGTAGTAGTCGTAGTAGTAGTTGTTGTTTTAGCTTTAGTTTTAGTTTTAGTTCCCCACATTGTTGTGTGGGGTTCTTGTTTTTTTGCTGCACCTCCTCGCTCCTCCTCCGCCCTCCTTCCTCCTTCCTCCCTCAACCTCTCTCACACAACATCTCTCACAACAACATCTTGCTCACACAACATCGGATGCCAAGGGGTCGGATGACAAAACATCACTCAGAGAACATCCCACACACACAGACAACATCCCAC